CGAACAGCAAAAAATCATATGAGGTACAACGTCTCGGAGCAAAAAGCAAGCTCCTGCTGGATAGTTCAAATGGCTTTTCACTCCCCAGCAAAGGCATCTGACGAACTCCGCTGAACAGTTCGACGTGGAACTCAGCAGCACAGCAGCAGTCAACAGGCGTGAAGAGCAGTTCAGAAGCACGCCACAGTCTTCCAGCCACGCGCACCGCCAGTTCACTGGTGCCCCGAATGATTTTTGCCAAGACAGGCACGAGCGGTCGATGGTGTCGGAGAGGCGACGCGCCAAATACTTGGACCGCCCAGGTGCACGGGCACATCCTGAACTGGCTGTGGAAAGGTCTATTTGCCAGAAGCAGTGGGAGACGGAAAGGGGAAGGGAGCAGGGGTGAGGAGAGGGGAGGCGGGGGAGGGACGGAGGGAGGAAGGTGAGTATTCTGAGCAATCAGATCTGCATTTGAGAGCGATACTGTTGGAGGACCGAAAAAAAGAGAAATGAGGAAAACTGAGGTTTTTTGGGAATGGAGGGAGGCGAAAAGGAGGGGAGCAGAACGAGGGCAGGGGAGATGGGAGTGCGGTGCGCGCGAGTAGCCAGAGAGGCTACAGGCGAAATCAGTGCGATAAGCCGCCAACACTCAAACAGAGTTAGAATCGGCGAACGACGAGTCAGTATCACTTGCACTGCCAGGAGGTGCGCAAACCACACGTTCACAGCGAAGCACCTACGCACACCCACCTGTCCCCGCGCTGAACCACGTGACCGACCACACAATGCAACAATCAATCGCACACACGCATGCACGCAAACAGCAAGAAAACGCAACTGTACCCTCCCCCCTTCACACGCGCACATCTACAATTTCAACACAGTTGTAGCTATAGCAATAAAAATGCCCCAAATTGGCAAACTGCCAAAAAGCTGAGAAGTTTCTGAACCGCCAATTTGGAAATGTGCGCTTCGACTCGCACTGTGGCCATGAAGTTTTCTTTTTTCAGTTACAAAATTCCCGAGATCAACCACTAGGACACCGAGAGTGCAGGCCGTAATCACAGGATTAGCGGGAGTGCATAGGCCACTGAGATCCAACAGGCCAGGGGCGGAGGTGCAGATTACCGCACGGTCGGTCATTCACTTATTGAGAGCAGACGTGCTGCACTTTCCGACAGAGCGAGCGTTGTTTGTTGGGGGCAATTGTCGGAAATCGGCTCGGTTCGGCCAGGTCGGGGGAAGAGTTCCAGTGACTGGGAAGTGGTGATGATAGAAGGTTGGGAGGAACGAGGGACGAAAGAGAAGAGGGAGGGGGAGCAAGAACCGGAAGTGATGCTGCAGTTCTTGGGGATCGCGTAACGCAGGGATGGACTCGGGGTATTGGCTGAAAAGAAAATTGTTTAGAAGTAGGAATTGCAACCTTATGGGGGAGGAGGTTTGTGTGGGTTTTTATACCCATAATGAAAATTGATGCTGAGGGGAAGTTTGTGAGCATGAAGGTGACACCCGGAGCCTCACCTAGTCAAAAATTCCACTACTTCAATATTCGCAACTCAAACCCGAACTCGGAAACGAGTGCGTATTGTACGGCGGACCCATGTCAAATTTTGAATGGATTCCGCTACGGGCGATGCTCATGGATTTGTAGAACTGCATAGTGGAAGCTCGTATTTTGCATCAAACGCCGAATGAACATTGCGTATCATTCCCCTGGTTATTTGTTTCTGCATCTTATGAAATGCAACCCAGGCTGGAGTGCACCAGGCTTGCTGGTGTGGTCACGTGTTTTTGCACCAAACTTGAATTACTCAGTTCGCTAACTGCATGAATGGTTGTTGCTTTACACCTGCCTTTTGCGCTCAGTAGCGTTATCACAAATTTTACGTAAAGGAAATGAACAATTTCTGTTTAGCGGTCGTTCTTTGAAAATTACCTAACTATTCAGTGGGCGGTTTCCCCGCCGAAACTTTTAAGTTGAACACGCATACCTGGGGGCTGAATTTGAAATATTTAAGTTGTGCCTGGACAGAGTACATTCCCTAAAATTTCAGCTTTCTAGCTTTTCTGGTTCTTGAGTTAGTAATTTTCCCCCCGAAACTTTCACTCCCGTACGTGGGTAAGACGCGTACGGGAGCTAAACTTAGAATCTTTAAATCGTACATAGACGGAAATATACCCTTAAAATTTCAACTTTCCAGCTTTTTTGGTTGCCAGCAAAACTTTCACGTGCCCGTATGTGAGAACCGCGCACAGCAAAGTGCTAAATTTGGAATCTTCAGCTCATGCATGTACAGAGAACATCCCTACAAAGTTTCAGCTCTCTATCCCTTCTAGTTCCCGAGATCGCTTTTTCGCCAAAAAATTTGCATATTTTTTTTAAGGCGTCCATATGCGGCACCTAGGCTTACGCGGATAATGATATTTAAATCGGAGGGCTGCACATGGTGTGGACACATACTCCCGAAGTTTCAGCCTTCTAACTTTTCTTGTTCTGGTTCTCGAGTTGGAAGTGGGTGACGAAAAGTGCGGACACACAGGCACACACAGACACACACACACACATACACACACAGCAAATACGCGTTTTTGCCGTGCAGCGCCAGAACGCTGCAACAGGCAGCAAAAACGCATATTGCAACGACCCTGTCAGTGTGTGTGTGTGTGTATGTGTGTGTGTGTGTGCGTGTGTGTGTGTGTGTGTGTGTTCGTCTGTCCGGGTATTTCGACTCGCCGATCACGCAAGCTTTGAAGCTGAAATTTTGCCAGTGTTTTCCCCAGCCAGGTACCACCCCAGGATCGCGATTTCAACCCTCGCGCACATCTGGGCCCCGCGTACAAGCACGTGAAAGTTTTGGCGCGAAAGTCGCTAACTCGGGAACGAAAAAAGTTAGAAAGCTGAAACCTTACGGGAATGCCCCCTACTCGTGTATGACAAAAAGATTTCAAATTCAGCTGCCCAAGACTGCCCGGAGCTTACGTACGAGCACGTGAAAATTATGGCGGGAAAATTCGTAACTCAAAAATGAGAAAAGCTAGGAAGTTGAGAATTTGGGGTATTTTCCCCTACTCACACACGATCAAAAGTTTTCAAACTCAGCTCCTTAGGACCACCCGGGGCCTACATACGGGCACGTGGAAATTTTGGCGCGAAAATCACCAACCTAGGGACGAAAAAAGCTAGGAAGCTGAAATTTTACGGGAATGTTCCCTACTCACGTAAGAGCAAAATAAGGTGTTTTGAAGCGCCCGAGTCCACGTACGAGCAAGTGGAAATTTTGGCGCGAAAATCACTAACCCGGGAACGGAAAAAGCTAGAAAGCTAAAAATTTAAGGTGATGTCCCCTACTAATGTATGACCAAAAGATTTCAAATTCAACTCCTTAAAACCTTCCGGTACTCACGTAGAGATACGTGAAAATTTTGATGGGAAAACTGCAAACTCAGGAACGGGAAAAGCTGAAGGCTTTAATTTTAAGGGGATGTCCCCTACTCAAGTGCGGCTAAAAGATTTCAAATTTAACTCTTCTAGTGCAGCCTTTTTTGCGGACCAGCAACTTTCCATTTGTCGAGTCACTGAAGTTGACATCTACAACTGACATACCATATAGTTGCACAATTAACTTCCCGAACTTCGAGGGCCAGTGTGTCACAGGGTTAGCTACTGTGATTCCTTGCGATTTTGCTAGAGCGCGAAAAGTGTAAAAATGCATAATCGCACCGGCTGGCCTGGTGCGTTCCAGCCTGGGTTGCATTTGCATATGTGCAAAAATGCGTACTGTTGAAAGAGGTTGTACGTCTGTGTGTTTGTGTGTTCGGAAGCGAGTGAAATTTGCCATCTTTTTCCAACTCTGCGATCAGGGAAACTATGTGGCTGAAATTATAGAAGCATATTCCTACTCCGTATGTCACCCCTTCGTTTTATCAGTCGCTCTTGGATCTCACGTATGGGCACCAGAAAAAGTTTTTGGAAACTTGTCAATGATTTGGGGAACTTGTAAACGTAGAAAGCCGGACTTTGCAGGGATACTTTCTAAATGCGAACTAAAGAATTCATCTCCGCTATCGCACACGTTTGCGCCATGCATACTGTGACGTAAAAACTTCACAGTTGGCACCATTCTTACTCGTAAATTAACTGGAAAACAGTAGCTGTAATTTTGCCATAATATTTATTGTCTGCCTAGGAAATTGTATACCTAAATAGAGTTTCGAAATGCGCTTGTGCCATACCTCAAGGAACGTTAAAGATATTTGTAGCGAAGTGGCGATTTCGGGAACTGGACAGGCTACGAAAGAAAAGTCGTACAAAGATATTATTTATTCTTTGATCAAAATTCAGCTTGGAGGCTAAATTCCCTGCACCACGAACATGATAAATACTCATTGTGCGTTTTTGCTTATATGCATATGCAAAAACGCATACTGTGACGACCTCGCTGTGTGTGTCTGTCCGGGTATTTCAACTCGGCGCCCAGGTAAGCTCCGACGCCAAAATTTTGCCAGTGGCTTCTGCGACCAAGTGCTACACCAGGTGTCGAGATTGCTAAATCTCGATTTTTTAATAATTGTATAAAATATGTGTTTTGTAA